ACATATTTAAATCATAAGAACGGATTATACATATTTTAGTTTTATACGTATATTTGCAGTATAAATATTTTATTTTAGTTTTCAATAACTGATTTAATTTTCACAAGATATAGAAGGTGGTTCTAAATTTTAATACAATACAAAAGTCAAAAATAATATATTTATAACATTTATATTTTATAATACCTACATGAAAACAATAGTAAAGAGCTAGAACATTACAATAATTTTCTGTGCTTTTTCATTAGTGCAAATGTACTATTTACTTTATCAAAATCAATGGTTTGAACTATGTTGCTTTCTATGCTCAATATGGCCAAATTTAATAGCCGGTCTTCAGTCATAGTTGAGCTAAGGCATGTTTTGAGAAGTTTTAGACGGCTAAAACTTCTTTCTGCAGTTGCACTGCTGACAGGAAGTGTATAAAAAACTGTATACAAAGTATATAAATTTGGATACGAAGAAACCACGTCTCGTGAGTCGTATATCATGAACTTCAATACTTCATTTAATTTTAAAAGTCCCGTTACTCCAGTTTCAATAGTTTTGTCATACACTTGTTGGTTAACTAGATATAATGAACGGTATACACCAAAATACATGGTTCATTTATACCAGTAAGTGTAACATTGTGTACTGCAAGGTCGGACTCATAATTTTGCACATTTCTAATAGATAGTTCAGACTCATGACACATCTTTTTGGTGTCATATTTGTACAACCTGCATATTCGACAATAGTGATTTGTTAAAAAATATTAACAAACCCCAAAATGGAATTCAAACCCAAATTGTCACCTAATACCAAACCTAATGCAAAATAAACAGTTATATCATTCGAATCTATATTAATAATAACGCCATTTTCCTGCAAATCAATTATTTATTTAACAAGAGATGAAACTATTTGGTTATTAGAAAACTCATTTCCTCTGTCATTTGAATGGACAAATATGCTGTAAATATGTTATCTAGCGATGAGAGATATTCTAGGGGAAGTCCAGCTATAGTATAGTAAACACACCCCATCATATGTACACCAGAATGGGATCCTAAAGGATTCCCCATCTCTGCATCATCAGAATACAGAAAGATTGGGAATACAGTTTTTCCTTTAAAATTTATTTTCATTTTTTTCCACGTTGAACCATTCAAAAATGATAATAAAATATCATTGTTATTTAACGATTCATTTTTGTGTTTGGTTATTGTTTGGTAAACTCCAGAAGGTTGTAAGAAATATTTTTAAATTTAGTTGCATTGAAAGGAGGATGACACTGTGCGGGTACCATTTCAACTGTATCAACATTATTAACTGTTTTTTTTTTTTAACATGGCCGATAACAATAGTTTCAGGTTTAAAAAACAATTTGTTTTTTATTAAAAATTTGGTTTGAAGGTATTCAGTTTTAACGTCATCAAAAGCATTTTCTAATAAATAAAACATGACACCAATTTCAGAACTTTGAGAAGTATTACAATTTCTAATGATGGGCATAACCATATTTTGTAAATCTGATACAATGCCACTAGAAAATATATCTATAACACCTTCAATAATATCTTGTAATAATAAACTTGTAACGTTAGGTTTCATTAAAAGTTTGGCAATACAATTTAAAACACATTTTTTTAATTTGAATACTATATAATATACTTTGGTGTTCATCACCAAATTAGAAGTTGGTGAAATATTTACAAGTTCATTTAACAAAATAGATTCTTCTAATATCTCAAAATTATTACTCTGTGTGCTACAATGTTGATTAGCACTAGGCAATTTTATATTCTAGATTCTAAAGAACATAAATTCTGATCATTAACCTGATCAGTTGCTGTAATTGATGATGATGAATGATGTCTATTCAAATGTTGTCGAAATTTCTTTAATCCTATAAGCTCACGAGAATAAGAACTTTGTTTACAATGAAAAATAGAATTTTCATTTAAATTGTGATACATTATCAAATGCCATATGAGTGTAATACTTTTGTGTTGAGAACAACATAAAAAACAAATATATTTCAACATAATAATTAGGTATTAATGTAACAACTCGTACTTATTAAGAATAATATATCGACATGAGTAACATACTATTAAACAAACTTGTCATTTATAGATAACAAAACAGCTGTCCTTAAATCATGATCCGTATTTAAACCAATGTGTATTGTGTAGTTGCAGAAACATATACGATTCGTGACATTCTCGTGGATAGGCGCAGTTAAAAGAAAAATATGACTTAAAACGTGAATCAATTACTTTTAAATGGCAATTAGAATACCATAAATTGAAATGTCAAACAATAAATATGAATGGCAAGTCCAACCGTAACTCGTAAGGCATGCAATCTTCCTCTGATGGAGTGCATAGTAAAATAACTGATTCTTTTACATGGGATAAACATACTCTTCATCTTCAGCCATTTCCTCGTCTTTATTGCCTATTGACATGATTAGTGCTACTAACCAACAAAAGGTAGTAATATATTTATAATCAAAAATTAGGGAAGATTCTCATGTAATATATTTTTTATAACTTTGTCTATTTAGCTTCCTAAGTTCAAACAAAACAAGAATTATCTTAAAATTGTGTAGCGTTAATTCAAGTTCTACATCTCAAGGCATAATAAAAGGTTTAAACGGTTTCATTATTTATGGAACCGATAAACAATAAACAAGGAATGTCCTTAATTCTTATCTGTTAAATAATCACTTTAATAGAAGAATAATTAATAATAATGATTATGATAAAAAGAATTAAATAATTTGAAATGTTAATATCCGGCCCCCTAATGATAAAGGGGAGCGGGAATACCCACCAAACGTCGCCACTGCCTAACTTTTTTTTTTTTTTACGGTATCGCCATCGGGGAAGCGACTACGTGAGCATTGCTACTCCCCCGACCGCATCGTTTATTGTGTAAACATAAATAAAATTTATAAAAAATACTTTCAACCAAATATCAAATATACATCAATACGGGGGCATCTAACCACCCGGAGTTTTAGCCTTCGGCCTACAGAAGTAAACTTAATTAAGGTTTTAGTCTTCTGTTCTTCTGACTTCTTCTTCATCTACTACAGGTATCTGCTTGTGGATGTTTTTGTGCGAAAACATTGTAGGTACCTACTGCTTATGACAATGGTCAGGGTTGGGCAAGATACTCAAAAAAAGTATCATGGTACATTCATTTAGTGTATCTATATACAAGATACATGATACTTTTATACTTTTGTATTTCCAAATTAATTTTTTTAACAATTACACTTTATAATTATTTTACTGACAGTTGGCATAGACACAGTCACACAGAAGACACAACGAAACAAATTGTACAACAATGCGAATAGTACACTGTAATTGCTTATCTGTACTTTTAATTTAATTTTATGAGAGCGAAAATTTCAACTTAGTACTTATCTATCTCTGTTCAGATTAAGATTGAACCGCTTGCTCAAAAAATTCGCGCATTCCGGACACCGGTGGGAGCGTATGCACAGCCGCCAACGATCGACGATAGCCGGCGATGACTGTCGGCCAATCACAGAAGGCATTGACATCGCATGGGGGTCAGGCACTGTTCAGCGGCTCAGTCTGCATGCGCGAAGCCGGTTCAATCTTAACCTGAACTGAGTGTATATATCTGTATGATATGTCTCATATGTTTTGAGTTTAGTGTAATAGGGGCAAATATTGTAAAAATAACTTTAAATATTGTAAATAGTATTACAATTTTTTTCTGTATCTAAGATCACCGGCTATGGATAGCTATGACTTATTGACCACTTTTAAAAATATATTATTAAATGAAAAAAAATGTAAATAGTTCATCTACAGTAGTTCTGGGAGATATGAATATAGTGGGAACACATTCAGTAGATAACGATTACTTGGATATGTTATCTATGTGTGGTTTCATATCTTATATTAATGTATACACAAGGACTCCTTTAAATTCTAGGCATTCATGTTTAGATCATAGTTTTGTAAAAAATAACAAGTTGGTAGAAAATATTGAAGCTGGTGTAATTCAAACAACTATTACTGATCATTACACTACGATACTAGCAATTCCATTAGTAAAACAAAATAACTTTAAATCCCAATATAATCTTGAATCAATTAATTTTGATAAAATAGCTAACAATTTGAAAACTGAACTATGGAAAGATCTATACAACAGCAAGAATGTAAATAAATGTTGTGATATTTTTTATAACAAATTAAATAATAATATATCCCTGGCAACGGAAGTTAAAAATATAATTGCTAAGTACAAAAGAGTAAAACAATGGATGACTGCAGGGCTACTGTGTTCAGCACGAAATAAACAGAAAATCGCAATGAAATTAAAAAACGTCCAAATAATTCAAATTTACTAAAGTATTATATCAATTATAAAAATAATTTTACAAACATTTTAAGACTCACCAAAATAATTTTTTTTAAAACAAAATTTAAAAATGTTGCATCAAGTCCAAAATTGACATAGAAATTAATTAAGGAAATTACAAACACTAAAGTAAACTCATTGAACGAAATAAAATCTATATTAATAGATAACAAAGTCGTAAATGCCTTATATGAGCCACACGCTGTTTCAAATTTTTTTAATAGCTTTTTGACTGAAATAGGGAAAAGTACATTAGAGAATAACACAAATTTTAAAAATAACGAACTTAAAGATAATAAAAGTGATCTCTCATTTGATGAAATATTTAGTACAACAATTACAGAATCAGAAGTCTCAAATATAATTATGAATTTAAAGGACGAAACAGCTGCTGGAATCGATAAAGTAACGGTAAACTAATTAAGTACATTGAAACAATTATTATAGGACCACTAACTTATTTATATAACTTAAGTATTGAAAAATACTTTTTCTGATAATTTCAAAATTGCAGTAGTAACTCCTCTACACAAAGGTGGTGATCATAAATTCGTTAATAATTATACTACCATTATATCCAAATTCAAAATAGAGCGTCCTCAATGCTAGGGTTTATAATGCGGAGCTGTAATAATTTTGATAATCCTATAGCTCTTAAATCACTATACTGCGCCTTTGTTAGATCAATTTTGGATTATAATTCAATAATTTGGTCTCCTTACTCATCTGGTCCAATTCATTCGCTAGAGGCGATTCAAAATCGCTTTTCGCGAATTATAAGTAATACATGTAATATTCAACGTTTGCCTCACACTTCGTATGAACCATTATTATCATATTTAAACACATAGGCGTCACTAAGGGGTATTGAGGGGTATTTTTGCTACCCCAGACATTTTTGGGGGGTAGCAAGGGTATCGTTTCGCTACCTCCAAAAAAGTCTTCGATTTTAAAAATATATTCGATGGTAATTATTTAAATGTGTACGAACCACGATTTAAGATAGTACTATCTTGACCGTGGTACAAACATAGACTATCTATTATTGTGATTGTGATTTGTGACCAAAATGGCAAAATAATTATGTTTTGTGATAAGTTCAATACGGATGATTAGACAGTGTATTTCACGGTTTAAGATATACGGTATATGGTATATCTTAAACCGTGGTGTATTTACACATACGTCAAACCAAGATGGTATGATCTATAAAGAAGAGGTTAGACACTTAGACAGTAAACGTTTTAAAATGATGGTAGTTCAATTCATCCAGAATTTAAAGATATCAATGATTTTTATAGAATAGAAATTTATTATTTAATTCTTGACACAAATAAAAGACAAATTTAATGAAAATGATTTAAAGATTTTAAACTCAATAAACAACATTTTAGTTGATAAGAACCCTGATGTATCTGATATTCAGGAAGTTAGTTCAGTATATCGCTCATCCGGAAGAAAAACGACACAAGTCTAAAATTGACAATTTTGGGTTTTTTATACATAATAATAAAACAAGATGTACATTTTATTGTGTAAAAACGACACTTTTGTAATTTAAAAATTGTCCACCTGAGTGCACTAGTGTCACTTTTCCTTTGATAAGAAAATATCATACGTATAACAAGAATAGTGTCACTTTATCAGTTACTCCTAGACCGTTATCGGGTATGCGTGAGTTAAAATATAGAAAACCGTCATATTTCGAAATATTTTTTTTTATATAGTGGTACAGTTCAAGAAAAACGACACATTTAGACTTCTGCCACTTTACTTGATCAGGTAAGATGAAAATCAAATACAACTAAATTAAAACACAAATTATATCAAAATGTGTCATTCTTCTTTTAAACTATATTACTTATATTCTGTTACAAATCAAAATAAGCCACTATAGTAATTACATTTTAATTAAACTTTATTGAAAATACAATGGTTGCAGTGTTTATTTGAAGTTGTGACATTATTGATGTTTATTTTATTTAAATAATTGGCAATAATTATTAGTGGTTTAAGACACATTATTATTTTTATTTTTATTTAGCTATGTCACAGACAAGTAGATCTCGCTTAATTTTGAAATTGTCAAAAGAAAAAATAACTAAAGATGGTCAAATCGGTTGCAAAGAAGATAATCATAATTTATAATGTACCTATATTAATATTATTATCCTTTAGTATTGATCGTTTTAAGAAAAGTAATTTTGAAATGTTTGAAATTATAGTTTGGTCATCAGAAAGAAACGAAACAACTAGCATAAAAGAAAATGATAATATTGTTAAAGGCAGTAATAACGAAGGTATAACTTTAAAATTATTATTTAAATCAATATATTTTGTCAAAAACTTAATAATTATATAATTTTTTTAGGAGTTGCAAATCCTTTTTTGGAACCTCACCTAGAATTTATGCAAAATAACAATATCCTATCTAGTAATTGTGATACAGGTAAGATATATAATAACTAAACTGCTAATAATACGATATTACAATGTGTTATAATAATAATAATAATAATAATAATAATAATTTTAATAGAAAATGCAGAGTGTGAAAGTGATTCTGATACAAGTTCATTGTCATTGTCAAGTATCAGCTATGAAGACGATACTGATGCTGATCCAAATTTTGAATTACCAGCCAACAATAGTATGATATTATATGAAGAGAATATTGTAAGTAATATTATTGAAAAAAAAATTCCAAGAAAGGTAAAAAATACAAGTGAAATAAAGAAAAATGTGAGAAAAAGAAAAGCTAATAAAGAAAACTGGAGAAAGAATGTGGTTAAAAAATTAAGGAATTCTGGTAAGAGTTATGTTTCATCTTCAAAAAGTAATAAATTTGTTGAGGCAAAAAAAGTATTACCCCCATGTGGTGAAAAATGTAAATTGAAATGCTTCACTAAATTTACAGAAGATAACAGACAAAAAATATTTGAAGATTACTGGAAACTTGGAGATATAGAGAAACAACGTTATTTTCTTGCATCCAGCATGACAATTGTAAAACCAAAATATAGGTATGTTAGAGAAAATAGTCATCGTCGCGAAAACAACTCTTTTCATTTTGAAATAAACCAAATTAGAATCCGTGTATGTAAAAACTTTTTTAAGGCGACATTATGCATAAATGATAGACCATTACGGACTGTAATTGAGAAACAAGATTCATTCACAGGAAAAATTATTGCTAATGATTATAGAGGCAAACATAAAAATCATGTAAAGGTACCTGATACAGTAAAAGAAGACATTCGCCAGCACATAAAATCCATCCCAAGGATTGAAAGTCATTACTGCCGTGCCAACACATCAAAGGATTTTATCGAAGGAGGAAAATCTATAGCCGATTTGCATAGAGATTATAAATCAGAATGTGAAGAAAAAAATATTTTAGCTGCTAACTATGTTATGTATGCCCGTATATTCAACGAAGAGTTTAATATATCATTCTTTACTCCAAAAAAAGATCAATGTGAGCTTTGTATTTCATATGAAAATTCTAATACTGTGGAAAAAGTACAACTTCAAGAAAAATATGATACTCATTTAAAAGAAAAGGAATTGTCTCGGTTAGAAAAAGAAATAGATAAACAAGCAAATTGTGTGACAGCAGTCTATGATCTTCAAGCAGTTTTACCATGCCCATTGGGGAATGCATCTTTGTTTTATTATGTTTCAAAACTCAATGTTTTTAACTTTACGGTGTACAATTTACAAACAAATGACGTCCAATGTTATGTATGGCATGAAGGTCAAGCACATAGAGGTGCTAATGATATTGGGTCTTGTATATTAAATTATCTTAAGGTATTACAGCAAAATGCAATTGAAACTGAAGCAAGTGCTAAATTAGATGTGATATTTTATAGTGATAACTGCGCTGGACAACAGAAAAATAAATTTATTTTAGCTATGTACTTGTATGCAGTTCTAAATTTTTCACATATAAATAGTATCACACACAAATATTTAATTACTGGTCACACACAAAATGAGGGGGACAATGCACACTCTGTTATAGAAAGAAATATTAAAAAATCAAAGAAATCTGGTCCTATTTATGTTCCTGAACAATATGTTACTTTTATTAGATCTGCTAAAAAAAGTGGCAATCCGTATAAAGTTCAGGAAATGTGCTATAAAGATTTTTTTGATTTAAAAGATCTTACAACTAAATTAGGGATCAACAGTTTTTCAAATGCATTCAAAATAACAGAAACAAAAATGTTTTAAGTGACAAAAGATGATCCAGATACTATTTATTTTAAAAACTCTTATGAACAGACTGAATTCAATTCTATAAGTATAAAAAATAAAAAAACTAGGAAAACCAGTAACCAATTAAATAATAATTTAGAATTAAAAAGAGCTTATGATGTGAAACCTGGTATAACTGAAGCAAAAAAAAGTGGGTTGTTATCTTTAATTAGAAAAAATTGTGTTCCTAATTATTATTATGACTTTTATAATAACTTATAAGCCTGAATTCTACCTATTAGTTTTTTTTATATTTAATTACATTCTATAAAAAGATTTGTTATGTTCATTTTTTAATAATTCCAACATTTTTAATGTCTTAGTTTTTGATAATAATATACTTACTTAATAAGAAAAATTTTATGTTACTATTTTTTTAAATTCAGAAGACTGCTTATGTTTGAGTTTTTGTTGTACTTGCCTACTTAATAAGAAAAATATTATGTTTCTCATTTTTAAAAATTTAAAAAACTGTTTATGTTATGTTATTGTTATACTCAATTATGAAAGTATTATGTTACTAATTTTTAATAATATTAAGAAAACTGATAATGTGCTAGCTTCTGTTATGCCTAATAAGAAAAAATTTATGTTACTCGTTGATATAATAATGAAATAAATTGTCAATATCAAAAAAGTAATTTGTTATTTATTTTTTTTTTACACGGTAATAATTAAAATTATATTATGTAACATTAAATTATTAAGTACAATATGCAAAATCACATAAGGTCTGATTTATTTGCATTGTTAATGAATAAATATCAAAATGATTTACAAACAAAATAAAAAAATGTTTAATCCACTCTCCTGAAAAATAGCACTTTTTGATTTGTGTCGTTTTTCTTCCGGATGAGCGATAGGTATGGATTTGATGTAAATGAATTGAAGTCTGAAATAATTATTTTCAATAGAATGTTTACTAGTTTGAAAAAAAAGATAACTTTGAAAATAAATTAGCATATATAAAAAAAGTTGAAGTTGGAAGTGGTTTCCCTATATTAGTAGATGTTTTTAAATTATTTTTGACAATACCAATGAACAGTGCATCATGTGAAAGAAGCTTTTCGTGCCAAGAAGACTAAAAAATTACTTAAGAACAACCATGGGCCAAACAAGACTAAGTTACTAGCGAACGTTACCCCAGCCCCCCACAAGTGAAATAATCACTTTTTTACAATTTTTTTTTTTACCAAACATTAGCACGCCATTAGCATGCATTTGCACGACTGTCGCTGAACCCGAAACTTTACGATTTTCCCGGGAAAACCAGTTTTCCACTTTCGCGCATTACCCCGCCCCCCCCCCCCCATAAAAATGGAAATAATCTCTTTCAGCGACAGTCGTGCAAATACATGCTAATGACGTGCTAATGATTGGTAAAAAAAAATTTGTAAAAAAGTGATTATTTCCTTTTTTGAGACAGTCCTAAATCTGTATAAAGTGGGAAGGAATTTGTGGTGTACAAAACCGGAGCCGTTTAGGAATTTACCTGTTCGTTAGACCTTTTTGGACGGGAGCCGAATGGGCTACGACCTGCTATCTTTGGTTTTTCTATTTTTACTGAAAGCTATGTATGCATATTTCCTTAATAATTACCATTTAAGACTGGTACTTACATAAAAATAAAAGTATCCACCTTCATTAGTAAATAATTTTATTATTAATACAGTTGAGGTATTGATTATTAACTACCACTCACCAATATTTAAAAAGAAGTGGGCTTAAATGATTATTTGACCCAACCATTCCTTTAAGGTAGCTTAATACATTTCCCAGAATATTTTGATTTAACCTTCTAGTTATAATATAGTTTATATATTTATAATTCAGTTTTAAATCATTTAAAAGATTTCTTAATGATCTATACAGTATTCCTGAAACTCATTTTAATTAATTACTGCTAAATAATTACACAATAGCTATTTACTGACTTTTTTGAAAACGTAAATAGGTATTGTGACAATGTACACGAATTGTTAAAATTAAGAGAACGTCTCACGGAAACGTGTAGACACTAGACACACAACGCTCAAGAGATAGCGTTGTTTGTTGTATCACCGACGTCGAGGTAGACCGTAATCACGCCTATTGTCTACGCGACGGGGTTCGCAAATCGCGGGATAGGTACATTAATTCTTCACAGACGGTCTTTTAGAACGTTTGATTCAAATTCAGCTTACTGTTGCGGAAAATGTCACTCAATGCTCTATTTCTTATGTACATTGTACCTACTAGTACGCTGCGCGGTCTCTCCTATCTCTCAAGTCTTAATATATTTAGGAATTAAGAGGACGCCGTCCGTGACATATTATCCTGTCGAAATAAAATTCATACACGTAAAAGCATTGCCACCATAATATTTTAAATATTCGCTCAGCGGTCTTATACACTAACCATTTTTCAATTAAAGCCACTGCCTGCCCAATAGTATAAATATTTGTATATAACAATTAACAATATTATGTAGGCTAGAAAATCTAGTTTCTACCGTACCTTTAATAAACTAAGAGCTCACAACACGAATTCAACGTCATTTTCATTAAAAGATTTCATAGTATTATTTATTTCACTAAGCATTTCTGTATTTGAATCTTGAAGTCTGGTGATGTTATGTTGTTGCGTGAGAGTGCAGTATTTAATTACACCCCATTTAAATTGCACTTAAGTTACGTTATGACCATTACGTTTGTGATTGACACAAAATGATAACAACAAAAAATATTTGCATAGACAGGCCAAAATAGTTGGTGATTTCATGAAACCAGACCAAGTTCAACTTAAAAAAAAGTGCTCGTAACTCAAGTAATTTTTATTAAGATCAAACCAGGAACTAAAATAAAGTAGGTAGGTACTTAACATGTAGATCAAGAATATAAAACTACAGACTGAATATTTTGGTGTTATATACTTACCAGAACGCATTAAAATATATTATTTTAGTAGGTGCCTATATTAGGTACAATAATGCCATGTCGGTGATACGTTCATTTTAGGTAGGTAGGTATAACTCTCAACTTCGTCGAACGATAATATTATTAGTATGTATTTGTCATTCGCGAATGACAAATGACAATTCGTTTATTTCTGTAAATATTTGTAAACATGTAATTTTAAGGTATTAATAGTACTAGATTCATTCGATAATATTTTTATGACCTAACGTTCTGCGTTGATCAAAACAATTAGCCAATGGGTGGATTATTAGTTGTTCATTGACGAAAATATTTCAGTTGTGCAGTATAGTGTAGACTACAGCGAGTAATATTCGTCACTGTGTGCTGTGCGTTTAAACAAAATTTATAATGTCAATACAAAATACATGTTTAATTTGTTCAAATGGTGTAAAAGTGGAGAAAGTGGTTTTGTTTAATGATAATTCAAAACAAAAATTTTGTTCTTCATTGAAAATCCGACAAAAGAATAGTTTTAAATATTGTGACGTTGTGCTACCGGAATTTTTAATTCGCAAGATGGCTATCATGTAAAATGTTACAGACAATTTACTGCACTGCCTTCAACTTTACAAAATCAACTTGATTCTTGTTCACATAATGCTTCAACATCATCGAGCTCTGTATGTGAAATAAATACTCGGTCAAATCAATAAACAAAATTAATTGAAGGTAATGCGTCTATTTTTAAGACTGTATGTATATTTTGTGAAAAAACTCTCAAAAAACTCAATGGAAACGCTCAAAGCTTACATTTGCTTGAAACTAAAAATTTTGAATTAAGTATAAAACATTATATGAATGAAATGGACGATGTCAGTATGCAAACAAAACTTTCTAACATAGATTTTGTAGCTATAAAGAAGTTAAATATCATAATATTTGTCGAGTAGCTTACCAAAATAAATCCAATCAATTTCATGACTAAAAAAAAAAATGCAGACAATCTTAATTTTCAAAAATCCCCTTGGCATATAAACCGTAATTTTCATAATATTGCATATTTTTCTTTTTGAGATGTAATTGAACAATCCATAATAAAATTAAAAAAATTATTTTATTAAATGTTTTACATTAACGAATATTTAAACTTTTTATGTGAAACCAGTGATGGCTTGTTTGAAGACTCATCTTATACTTCACAACACCTTGAAGATAAATTAAAAATAACATTTGAAAACAAAGTTAAATTTGAAGTATTAAATAATAAAAAAATTTTACTTCATATCAACGTCCAATGTGTCATTAAGTGATTTAAAAAATAATTCTGAATTATTGAATGTTGCTCAAATATTACGCCGGGAAATTTTAGACATTAAAAAAAAAAAATCTACCAGAAAATGTAAGCACTGAAGATTTAATTAAAGGAGAATGTTCTTTACCTGATAAATTAATTAACTTTATAACACATTTGGTGGGAGGCCCTGATATAAGGCGTAGAAACAGTGATGCAACTTGCCGTAAAGTTGAAGCACTGGCAAGTGACTTATATTTAAGATAAAATACAAATGAGTTATTAATTTAAATTTTCCGCGCTTTGTTTCAAGCGTTTTATAGAGTCCCTGAGTCAAAACGTCCACGAGGCGCGCTAACGTCGAGGCCCATTTTTCGTGAAAAGGACTAGTATATGCTGTGACTAATGAACGAGTTAAACCGTAAAAGCAAATAACACTTGGAATAACCTTAAAAAGCTTAACAAGTAGTAGAAAAGTAATTGATATTCTTATTAGAAACAATCAATGTATCAGTTATAATGTCATTGAGGAATTAGATACAGAACTCACATACTCATCAATTAATCAGTTAGGACTATGCCTACCAGGAGTATTACTTTTACCAAAATTATCCACTGGTGTTGCATTTGATAATTTCGATAGATTTGTGGAAACATCCAGTGGAAAAGATACTATCCATGACACAGTAGGGATTCTTTATCAAAATAAGTCCGAAGAAGGTTCTCATGAAACAGTTTTTCAACAATTACCATTGCCATCTACTCAAAATATATCCTAACTAATATAAATAGTACTAATAATATAGGAAAAAAAGCCAAAAAAAAGAAGAACGTTTGGGGCTATAACACCAGAAGTAACACCTTATAGAAAAAAACCAAAAATGATAGGGACATTGGTGAATAATGATAATGAATTACGACAAATTGTACCAAATACTCTTAAAATATGTAAAGAACGAGATTTGTTGTGGGTTTTATCACATGCCTTAAAAATTAGAAATAATCCTATGTGGAATGGATATAATAGTTTAACAACAATTAACCATGGTAGTAAACAAAAAATATTCTACTTAACTCCAATTAATATGTCTCCTACAAATGCTACGGTAATTTACGAAGCAATGGTACAAACGCAAAAGATTGCTAATGAATGCAATCAACATTTTATGTCAGTTACATATGACTTAGCTATAACTAAAGTTGCATTACAAATTCAAACGACAGAGCAACCTAAATATGATAACCAATTTATTAATTTAGGAGCTTTCCATATTATTATGGCCTATTTTAAAATAGTTGGAAAATGTATCGATGAGTATGGTTTTACATATATAATGGTAGAAAGTGAACTATTAGCAAGTGGGTCAGTCAATGGTTTTATAACAGGAAAACATTTTAATCGAATATTACATTTTGAATTATTTCTTGAAAAATAATGCATTGACGTTTCCGAAGACATATTATTGGAACTAGAGGCATTGATGACAAAAAGTACGAATTATAATTTAGATCTTACTGAAAATGAAAATTTAAAAAAACTTATTAATGATTTATACTCACAATTTCAAGAAGATTCTTTGTCTGGATTACATGGTAAAACTGCTCAATATTATATGAATTTCATACAACTGGTTGACTTATATTTAATACCATCTAAGAGTATACGAGTAGGAGATTTTATTCTATTGTGTTATATATTGCCGAAAATTACAATTTTATTTTTTATCTTTAACCAGCCCAATTATGCTCGATGGATGGTCAAATACCATGATAATATTTTAATGCTAGATGAAACTCATCCCGATTTGAAAATTGATTTTGAAAGTGGTTCTTTTGGAATAAAACGAACTTCAAAAAGCTTTTCACGACAACCAATAGACCTCACATTAGAACAAACGATTAATGCAGACGCATCTAAGAGGCTTACGGGATTTATTCATTTTACCAATTCGATATCGGCCCGTCAACGTTGGGCTAAAAGTCATAGTTTAAGATCAACAATTATTTCCCACGTATTGGAAAATATTGGCTTAAAATTTAGAAAAGATATATCTAATGAATTAGAAAAAAGTAAAATAGGAAAGGCAACTTCAGCTGTTCAAAAATTTGTTGTGATTATTAAAAACTATATTAACCCTTTTGATCAATCTATCGCCCCAATATTTTATTTAACACTTTAACTGGAAAAGGAGCTTCCACAGAAACTACTAATTTTTACTCAATGTTCAAATTAAAGGTAATGAGTTGCGTGAAAAATTTATTTCAAATTGTGCAATTGATTCAAGTGGATTTGAAAAACTAATGAAAAAACAAAAAAATATTAAATTTTTCACAAGAAAACATAAAAAAGAAAATTGGCACTAATTTTGGGAAAGTACAAGAAATACGAATGCAAAAAAATTTATTTGGAAGAATGCTTGGAATTTCACTAGAAAAACCAATTGACGTATTAGAAACTTTAAAATATCCATTAACACCTATTCCGACCTATATGTGTCAATTAGATGGAACCATGTAAAAAACTGATAAGTCCTCTTTAATGATTAAATCTTAGAACAAAAAATTAGTCAACCAAATGTACCACCTGAACACCTAGATATATTAGATGGATTTTTTGTACTACATTTAATAAAAGAGTTTCCAAAAACTTTTGGTAGTATTGACACGGTACGCAGCGGCAACCAGTACAAAGTACAGGTACCGCAGCGACCAGTCTGCGCTTTTGACAACCACCACCACGGTCTACGAGCGCGACAACGCCAACTCTCCCACCGGGTTTACATTGGTAGAGTATTTGCTATAGTACGACGGTAGAGTGAGTACTCTAACGTTTCTAGCATAATGTAAACACTCAGGAATAGTATAGGTAGAGTACTAAAGATAGTAATCGGTATAGTAGAGCAGTTAACCACTGTGGTAAAGTACACTCTACTTGCTTTTACCCCCACCACCGTTTTTACTGTACTCTACCACCACTCTACTGGTGTAAACAGTCTAGTTTTGGTATAGTAAAGTAAAATATTGTTGTTATCGCCTGAACCGGCACGTGTATTCATATTTATTTTTAAACTTTGTATAAATTTTTTATTTTGTTTAATAAACAATATTTTTAAACATTATAATATAATATAACTATTCTACATTTCTGATCGTATTGTATTATATCATTTTATTTCATTATAAAAGTGATTTTAATAATTTTTAAAAATGAAGTGGTCTGAAAGTGACACTATAGCACTGGTGGAATTGTATGAAAAGCATGAGTGTATATGGAATATTGGTTCTAAAGATTATAGAAATAAATTAATGAGAGACGCTGCCTACGAATATTTACTTTTGGCCAGTACGTTATTGCAGCACTTAATAAGTTGTCACCAAGGCAAGCTATTTTGGCTCAAAGTGATATACAGTCTCTTTTGACCAAGTATCGATTAGCAGAACAGTCTGGGTCAAACAGTTTTCATTCTACGTCACCACAATCTTTTTATACAACTGATGAAGATACATCTACACAATACAATATAGCAACTGATCAAGATACATCTACACAATACAATATAGCAACTGATCAAGATACATCTACACAATACAATATAGCAACTGATCAAGATACATCTACCCAATACACTCTACTATCTGCCAACACAGGCAACGAACATGATGAAGATAACAGGGACAATATCATCGCAAAAGCATGGTCATTAATTTAAATTTAATTTTTCCCAAATGGGATTTTTTTGTTTATCTAATTTTTCAGTCCATAATATTAAAATGTTTTGAACTTTAAAAGAATAAAAATCATTTTTATTGTAGTTGGTATTAGTTATAGTAGTCTTAACATTTAAACTAATATATTGTAAATGTTCTATATTTTGTTAATATATAATAAAATATACTGTACCTAAGTACGAAATAATTTTAAAGAAAAATACCTTAATATATTGTTCCAGGGCTTGATAAATGGCGTCACAAACTTCTGGTAAAAATTTAGATATTGCGGGAATTGACACTCTAAAGAAATGTTGTAGGGTTCGATAACTATTACCAGTCGCTAAATAATTCAATGTTATTTGTAGCTTAATGCGAGCTGGTAGTGCATCTCGAAGAATAGTGTCCTGTTTTTGAATAGTTGGTGATACCAAATATAATAATTGTTCAAAATTTTCAGTTGTCATTCTTAAACACAGCCTGTACTCTTCTGGATCCTCTAAAGCTAGTTCAGTAAGAAGATTTTCTGATGCGCCAAGTACTGTTCTTCTTTTTATCCACTCTCGAACCCAAATTCGTTTTTCTTCATTACTCTCATCAATGAATTCTAAAATATCGTTTATTAACGCAGTTGTAACCACTCGAAGGCATTTCTTTAATAATTTTCGACAATGACGACGACGTACGATATCCATATTTGTTTATTTGATGTTTTGAAGTTGATCAAACCTAACCGTGACGGCGTGAGTTTACACATCAACTGCACTCTCTTCTACTAAATACTAGCTTCGTGTAAACAGTTACTCTACTAAAACTAGTAGAGTAGAGTGAGTAGGCAAAATAGTAGGCTAGTGTACTCTACCAAATACTCTACCAATGTAAACCCGGCTTAAAAGGCACAAGACGGGACGGGAAGGTAAGTCGCGCAAAACGAGTACTGGCCGCCGGCGGTCTGCCTCTCGACCGTCAACGTCTCAACGATACACACGTGTCTTCTCGTTTTCTGTAAAAATATCCATACACCGTGGATCCGTTATTACCGCGCCTGTTACTAAAACAGCTAACCACGACTCCGTCGATACCGTTTGTAGTACTACCACGTTTTTTTTCACGTTAAATAGTGAGTGTAAAAAAATAAATAAACGCAGATTCATCAACACAGTGCATTACTTTGTTTCTTCATCACTCCTCGTCATCTCATAGCGACCGGCTCACCGCGGTCACCACTCCACCACCGCCGTAGCCGCGTCAGTATCTCTATTATGTTTTTAAAAAAATATTCCTCGATATAAGGCCAATAGAATAGATATAGTTTTCGATCAATATTTTTCCCCTTCAATTAAAGATAATGAACATAAAAAAAAGATCTCCATCTATTCAAAATTATTCCAAATATGTTATATCTGGATCTGATCAAACAAGACCTGCTGATTTTATAAAAGAGTTGAGAAATGGCCATTTTAAAGAAGCATATTTTGTAAATTTTCTAATTGAACATTGGATTCAATTACCTGTTTTCATTGGAAATAAAATTATAAATTTAAGCCATAAAAACTGTAACTATACATTCATAGTACATAATGGCAACGTCTTAAGAAGCACAAATGAATTATTATCATATAACCACGAACTGCAGTGTTGGGCAAATCGTAATCTGATTAATGATTAAAGATTATGATTAAAAATTGTAGTTGTTAATCATAATATAAATTAATGTAATCAATAATCACAATAACAAATTATTTTAGATGATTAAAGTCATAATGTAATCGTAGTATTGATTACGATTACAAAATATGTTAGTTCGTAATCATGACTAATTTTTAATGATTAATGATTAATGATTAATGATACTTCAATAATGAATTTGGGCTGAATAACTTATATATTGAAGTACTGTCATAGCCGAGCGGCATAAGACGGCTGTGCGTAAACGGACAGTCACTGGTGACTGGTTCGAATCCGGCAACCGGTGGTTTCGCTTTCCGGGCGATGTTATGAATACATTTAACACGTGAAGACAAAATTAACAATAAAATAATAAAAAAAATGCATCTTATAAACAAAATACTTTCTTTTAATTAACTTATTAGAAAATAGAAATCAATAAATATAAATAATAATATGATAATAATAATACAATTTAAATAGTAAATTCGATTTATTTAGGTGCATGCTATACAACTAACAATAATATATGATAAATACCAACGGCAATCCCAAGATGTAGAATTTGAAACATATTTATTTTTTACAATAAATTTGCTTTTAACACAACACGTTTTTCAAATAAATTATCTGATAATTTATGGCTTTTTGGTTGATTTGTCATAGTAGCAAATGAGAAGAGTCTTTCTACCGGAGCTGACGATGGGAGCGGAGTATTATATTGAATAAAAACTTCTTTGATTGTTGGATATTTGTTTAGGTTAGGAAGGTCATTTTCTTCATCAGCAAAAAAATGTAAAACTTCTAATTCTAATTTTGGTATACTGGTTAATGTTAAAGAAGAAGATCCAAAGTCGAAAAAGTCGTCAGTTGTTTGGTTTTCAGGAGAATTTTTTAATTCTATGAACGTATTTTTCCCAATAAGAACTTCATTGGCTGTTTTTTTGAAAATTTGTATGAGCCTGTCATGAAATTGAGGCTTAACGCATGTCAACCAACGTTTTTTAAAACGTGGATAAGACAATGCTGCAATAACAGCATTAAGAGATTCTGGAGAAGTGAAATTTAAATAATTTCGAAATCTTTTCTCAATACTTTCTAACAAAGCATGGACTATAGGTTAGCAATATATCCAAGTATGATGGTCGGGTTTTGCTAATATTTCGATTTTTCTTCTCAACGCTAATAGACACGGTAATACTACACCATAATAAGTATTTAATTCCCCTTGCATTATATCTAACGCTTCTGAAATTTGAGCTGCACACCTTAAGTGTTCTTCAATATAATTAAAATCTTGATCCCGTAAAGCATTTTTGGTATTTATTTCTAGAGCTCTATTTAAATTTAAAATATTATTTTTGATGCTTAATATTTGTCGAAGTGAGTCGTATAAACTATTCCATCGGGTCTCTCCAGGTCTACTTAGGGTATGTCCTAATATATTTTGTATTATTTCGGCTGATTTAGGCCGTCCGGGTAATTTCCAAAGAATATTACATTTATTTATTACTTGGTCGTGTATTGAAGACAATTCAACACAGCTTTTTATGACTTTATTTATATCTGTAGTGGCACATAAATTTAGAGTATGAGCAAAACATCTAAAATGCATGGGCAACATATTTTCGATATCAATTGTGTGACCTACGTCATTTTGTGTATTATTTTGATTTGATTCTAAATCAGACTCTGAGTTATCAACTGAATACCTTCAGTTCTCAATTACCTCTTCGACCATATTGATGTTTTGTCTCTTAACTCCAAACATTTTAAACGCCTTAACGAAATTGCTGCCGTTATCAGTAATCGTTGCTATAATCTTAGTAGAAGCCAAGTTAAATTCTGAATTTATTTCATGAATTAAATCAGAAATTTTGTCATAAGTGTGACTACCTTTAAAACGGCGACATGCTAACGCTTTTGAAATCCTATTTAAATTATTTTTTGAAATCCAATGAGCCGTTACCCCGAGAAAACTTCTTTTTTTTCCAGACCAAATATCTACTGTAGTGCAAACAAATTTTACATCGTTAAATTCTTCTTTAATTTCTAGTATATTTTTTTCATACAAAATATCAATTTTTCGACAAAAAGACCGCCGACTTAAAACATGAAGTCCACAATCAGATATGTTTAAAGTGTCAAACATTTTTAGAAAATATGGGTCTTCTACACACCTCAAAGGAATCATTGAATGTAAAAAAAATTTATCATATCAGCTTCGAAGTTTTCCTGGGTTGTTTTAGTTTTCAATTGTTTAGCAACAGTTTTAATTTTTTTATTTGGCCTTTCAGTTAATTTTAAATAAGTTTTGTATTCTTCAATAGCATCTGGGCCATCTCACCGTTTTAAATGAGTGACAAAGTTAGAAGATGAATTTCAATAACCCTTCAACTCTACAATTTTCGGCTCACATTTAACGCATTGCACAACAATTTTATTTTCTAATGATTTTTCATTTAAAATCTTAAAAAATTTACCATCAATTGACCTTGGAGGTGGAGGATGAGACGGAGTTGGTACAGATAAAAACATGCTAGAGCTCTGAGACACAGAATATTCTTCACTGTCACTCATTATATTATTAAATTTTTGTAGAGTACAATGTAATATATGTATTATACGAGATTAAACCAAAAATTACGAAATGCAATGAACACGGAATAATAAAGCCAACTAAATAGGTACCTACTCATAATATTTTATTGTACGTTTACCGAATTAAAGTAGATATGAGGTAGATATGAAGTTATATCTATAGAAAAATACCTTATAACATGCATAAGATAAGATATATGAAATTAATTAGACTTAATGGACCTTAATATCGTTGATATTTTGGAAATTCATACTATTTTAAGTAATATCATATAAAAAAAAAAACAGTTTTGCGATAAATTTTGCGATAAAGATTAACGATTACAAATATGTAATCATGATTACTGATTACTTTGAGAGAATATTAAACGATTAATGATTAATGTAATTTAATAAAGTAATCGTAATCGATTACGTAATTTAATCTTAAATTAATCGATTACGCCCAACACTGCCACGAAGAAGCAGACATGAAAATTATTTATCATTTATATCATATGACATATATCAAAAGAACCAGAAAAACAAGTAATAATAAGGTGCAATAATACGGATGTTATAATAATTATCTTGGGTGACATGTATAAATTTATCAATTCTGTTAATGTTTGCTTGAAGTGGGTCTCGTTTCAACAAATAATTTGGGTTATATTGATGTTTCAAAATTGTTCTTAAGTCGTGGTATTGAACTTTCTACATCACTATTAGCTTTTCATGCATTGACCGGTTGTGATTTTACTCCAGCATTTTATGGAAAAGGAAAACAGAAACCATTCAAAATATTAGTAAAAAATACAAGTTTTCAAAAGTCATTAAGTGATTTAGGATGACCAGAAAAAATATCCTCAGAAACATTTTTTGAAGTAGAAAAATTTGTCTGTCAAATATACGGAATAAAAAATGTAGTCACTGTTAATGAAGCAAGGTTTAAAATATTTTGTAATGCATATAAACCTAAAAAAGACAAAGAAACATTTAAAGCCAAATTAAAAAATTGTGATTCCTTAAATATTCCACCGTGCCACCAAGAATTACAACAACAAATTCTTCGAGTTAATTATGTATGCAATACATGGATAAATGCCATTCCTAAAACTCCAACTACCTTCATTCCTGTGGATAATGGTTGGATTACAGAAGACAATTCGTACATTCCACTGTAGTTCAAGGGACCTCAATACCCAGCATTTATTGAAGATGTTATTATAAGAAATAATTTCGAAGGAGAAAACATTAGTGATAACGGTGAGTATAACATTCAGACCCGGATAATACAAATAGCTATAATTTACTTTTACAAATTTCATACATTTTTTTCAGAAAATGAAGCAAGTGATACTAGTGGTGAGGAGTCTGATTAATATTTGACAACAAAATCACATTTGGAAACACATTGATTTATGATGTAAATTAAAATTATGTTTAAAAGTTTCTGTTCTATATTCTAATATATAATAAAATTTTCAGTTAATATCTATTAAATGTTATTTGTGTACTGTTTAAATAATATTTTAATGGGTTCTGGTAAGTATAAAACCAAAATATTCAGTCTGTTGTTTTATATTCTTGATCTACATGTTAAGTACTTTATTTTGGTTCCTGGTTTGATCTTAATAATAATTACGTAAGTTACGAGCACTTTTTTTTAAGTTGAACTTGGTCTGGTTTCATGAAATAACCAACTATTTTGGTCCATCTATGCAAATAATTGTTGTTAAAATGTATTATCATTTTGTGTCAATCACAAACGTAATGGTCATAACGTTACTTAAGTGCAATTTAAGTGGGGTGTAATTAAGAGGACGCCACACGAGCAAACGAAACCGTGCAATGACCAAGAGAATGCGCTGTTAGGTGTTTTCGTGATCCGCAAGCACGCGTATAAGCCGCGACCACTACTCACAGGCCACAGCCGTGTACCGACCGACGAGTTGTCGAGTTCGGGACTTCGGGAGCGTTGTTTATTATCTTTTGAACGTTCGTCCGTGACATATCCCGTCGAAATAAAATTCATACACGTAAATGCATTGCCGCCATATTATTTTAAATATTCGCTCTTATACCTACACTAACCATCTTTTAATTAAAGCCGCTGTCAGCCCAATTGTATACCTATTTGTATATAACAATATTATGTTGGCTAGAAAATCTAGTTTTTACCGTACAAATTGTTGTACAAACATTTTAATTATTCGAGTTAACAATATTTTACGTACAATAACTTACGATTTACATTTTGTTTGTAAAAATATCAATATAAACATACCTATTATGTATTTAATTTGTATACTTACTAATATTTTCGAATGTATTCCATAATACCGTTGATTATAATAAATATTATTATAAAATCGTTTAGCGTTTTCACTTTTTTTTCACTTTTTTACATGTGAATAATTGGTATAAAAAATTAAAATATCGAAAATCGAGCTTCTTACGTCACTCGATATAACTCTTCTCTACAACTTTTAACTAAGGTATTTTGTTCTAAACCATTCAGTAAACCGTATTATTGGAACAAAATTGGCATCTTTTGTACGGTATTTTTGCCCGTGTGTCGTCCTTTTAAGTAGTGCACCCTCACGCACCAACATAACACCACCAGATTCAAGATTCAAATATATAAATGAAATAAGTGAAATAAATAAGACTATGAAATCTTTTAATGAAAATGACGTTGAATTCGTGTTGTGAGCTCTTCGTCTATAATTGTTGTACAAACATTTTAAGTTCTAAGGTTTGAAAATAATCTAAGCAGGGCCGTATTTACACTTTTCGCGCCCTGGGTCAACAATAATTGTACGTCCCCCCCCCCCAAAAAAAAAATATAATAATTATCCCTTTTAGATTCTGAGTGGAACGATGGATGTATTTATTTTTGTGTCTGTGAACACGATAAGTAGTGTAAATAATCCTTCAATATAAAAATATTAATACAATTTTATTTGTTGGTTTCGAAAGCTTGAAAATTGAATAGAAGGCTCCTAGTATATTGTTTCAAAGGCGAATGAAAAATATTAAAAATCCTTGGTCAGTTTTTTTTTTTCATAAGCATTTAAAGTTCAAAAATTAACAAAATATGGAAAAATCACAAAAATTAGCAAATTATTTTGAGTTAAGAATTCGTAAAAATTTTTCTTTTTAAATATAAGATTTTAAAATGTAATACGAGATTCCTTATAAGATTATCTACCTTTATCAAAAAAAATTCCTATAAGAAATTCAAATTAAATTTTAATGAGCTTTTTAAATTCAAATTTTTACAACAATGGATGAATGTTGTAACAACAATGGGGAACCTACATAAAAAAAAGAAGACAAAATCGAGACAGGTTGGTGGAAAACATGACAGGTATTTAAAAAATGAATGTAAACATATAGATAATACAATAGAAATATACAAGACAGGTGGGCCTAGGCCCTCACCTGTCGCACCATGGACAGGTGCTCAATATATACGTCCCTAGATGCCGCAATGCTGTCGCTCACACACAGTTTCCGCATAAGAGCAGCATACGAGCGGCTGCATAGACTCCTCATGAAGAGTCAAGAGATCGTTGGCGGGATCCAACGAGCCGAGGGCGCCAATAATGAAAGGCATGACCGGTGCCTCGCACCCATACAGCAATGCTAACTCGGCTCGAAGTCACTCATACTTGACCGTCGCTGCCTCGAATGCGACTAGCCGTTTGTCAGAAGGAACGGTGAAATCTACGACGAAGATGTTTGGGCCCTTCTTCAGAACGAGATCCGGTCTGAAGCCCTGGTTGCCCAGGACCTGATTCTCAGAGAGGATCTCAAACTTCGTGGATGCTGCCTTCTTGATCCTGGCGACCATGGCGTTATGCCTCGCCACGTAGAGCGCGGTGTACCGCATGCAGTGGTCGACGACGTGGGATAGGCTTTCATTTATGTACCCACATCGTCTACACCTACGGTCACCGGCTCGCCACGGCGAGGAGCCATTCAACGGCACGAGGTTCAGCCTGGCGCGATGAAGTCGCCATCTCTCAAGAAGTGGGAGGAAGCAGAGTGAACGGCCACGCACTCCTTGGCTCTACCTTGATCTTTCTTCTCGATCAAGGCGTCGCTTCGTTTCAGCCACAGAGTGCATACGGTTTTCATGACCTATGCTTCCCCCCCAACACCGTGCCTTCGTGTGTTATGGAAGGGGAACCATCCAGCGATCACTTGACACCAAGTCGCTTGGAGGCGTTCCGTGCCCTCGACCACACACTAGTGACCCCCGTGCTCCGGACCTCCGGGGACACGCCCTCTTCCTCACATGATAGGTAGGAGCCGATCTCGTGGATGGAGGGGTCCTTACTGATCCTCCACCTGGTGACCTCCTGTACGTGCTCCTCTGCATCTCCGGCCACCCACAGGTCCGGTTCAGCTTGAACCCGCTATCCACCGCCGCGAAGTCCTCAGGTACAGTGCGGCAGGTGTCGCCTTGATTTCCGGCCGCAGGATCTTGTCCACCCTAGCCCAATTCGTCTTCAGGAATGTCCCCAACCGTTGTAAATGGATGGTTGAGGGGTAAAAAAAGGTCTTCAGCGCATCGATCCGCTGCCAGGGCGTGAGTTTGCTCCTGGCGATGCGCAGACCGATATCTATTATCTCAGCGAGGGTGGACAATGGCGTAACGGCGTTGAACCCAACCTGGGCGCCGCGGAAGGTTACCGCTTCGCCCTCGGAAAGCGGACGAAGGGGGAACCTCGCAGCAGAAACTGCGTGTCCCGGACACCCACCGGCAGTCGACAAGACAGGTGCAGCGACGCGCACTTGGCCGCATTGAGCTGGAACCCAAGCATGTCCAGGCCACTGTGGGCCACGTCAATTGAGCTCTCCCGGGCTGTCGGCTATGAGGCACAAGTCGTCCATCAACGCAAGCACCCAGTGGTCGACGGACTCGCCCTACAACCGGGTTGATAGCTAAAATTAAAAGAAGACCACTCGGCGGGCACCCCTGCTTGATGCCCGACCTCATTGGAATATCGTTGGTCAGCCCTCCTGCCACACTCACCGATGACGTCGCTCCCGCGTATATGTCACGGATGGCCAGAAGGAAGTCCTCGCCGGTACCGATCCTCTCGATCGCAGCCTCCATAGCGGGGTACGGAATCTCGCCGAACGCGTTCGACACGTAAAGCCAGGCCACGCACTTGTCCGCCGCATGCGTCCTGGCCTTCTCTAGCACTCGGTTAAGAGTGTGGACTTGTTCGAACGCGCCGCCCGCTGGCAGGAATCCCTTCTGGCAGAGGCTGAGGACCTTGTTAGACAATAGCCACTCCGTCAGCACACCACACGTACAGCTTATACAGCGTCCGGCCGAGTGAGATGGGCCGCCAGTTATTGAGGTCCTCTTTCGCTCTCTTTTTATAGATGAGCACCGTCACCGCTTTCTTCCATGCGGGTGGAACCATCTTATAACGGAGGCATACGTTGATGACCTCCGTTAAGACCGTGCACTCAGGGTCGAGTCTTTTCCAGTGCCGATAGGTGAGCCGGTCGTCCGTGTTCTCGAATTTACCGAGGCGTTTGGAGACATCGGGACACTGGGACGGGCCCATCGGCACGGGAGCACGGCCGTCCACCCTTGGAAAAATGTCAGCGATGAAATGCAGCGATTTCCTTATTTTGCTGTAATTCAAAAACTAATAACTGTAGATACATGAATATTGTACTGAATGTTTATATTAGATTTCCTATACAACATACAAATTTGAAAATAAAATGACTCTTTTTGAGCTGTTTACGGACATTTACAATTTTCAATTTTTTTAGTTTTTATTTTCTATAAATATCAATACAATTTTATCTATTGGGCCAGAAAGTGGAAACATTTAATACAAGGCTCCTGATATATTATTCCAATATCAGTTGAAAAATATTAAAAATACATGGGCACACATTTTTTTATAAACATTTAAAGAACGAATTTTGACAAAATTTATCAAATTTAAAATTGAATAATTATTTTATAGTTAAAAATGTATAAAATGTTCAACTTTTAAATCAAAGGGTTGAAAATTTAAAACGAGATTCAACGTAAGTAGTTAATTCTGTTACTAAAAAATCTAAAAAATACATAAGCACAGTTTATTTTTATAGTCATTTTGTAATCTTATAGACATTCCTTATAAGTTTTTTAATAAAAAAATTGTACGCGACCGATATCCGCTGCCACTCATCGATGAGCAGGTCGACCAATGGGTCCTCTGGGACCATTGTATTCTCTGCATTTGATTTGCGCAATGGGTTTTTTCATGTACCGGTGGATGTTAACAGTATAAAATATACTTCCTTTGTGACGCCCAGTGGCCAATACGAGTTCTTGCGCACGCCTTTTGGGCTTTGCATATCACCGCATTTTTCCAACGTTATGTTAATTTTGTATTCCGTGACATGATCAAGGCTGGTCACCTGTTAGCGTTTATGGCACAGAATAACCAGAAGAATCACTTAATGAGAACTCGAAAATCAGTGAAAAATCTTTGAGAAAACAATGTAGCCAGAATTCAAAAATAATTAAAAATTCTCTTTTGCTGCTGAAACTGTTTTTACACATTTTTTGATGTTTTCATGTGTAAACATTTTATTTTTCAGTGATAATTCAATAATTGATCGATCTTGAAATCTTGCATTGTGCGTACATAACTTTTGTTCTGTGAAAACCTGAATTTTGAATTTGAAATTTTAGATCGTTTTATTGTAATAATTGTTTACTACTATGTAATTTGGTGGACATTCATGCTGTTTGGCGAATTGCACCAGTATTGTCTTTGGGAAAAAACAAATTATAACAAAGTTTCATCGATTTCCTAAAGATCAGACAAGGTAAGAAATACCAAGTGGTGAACACCTATTTCTTGTAACTTAATTGTACTTAGTAATTAATAATTATATATTGTATAATTAGCTACCTTAACACTGACAACACGTATCTGTATTTATGTTACTTTTCAGGAGAGCCAAAAAACTGTCTAATTATTTAAGTAAACTAAATTAAAATATGCTGTTTCCTTATAAAAATAACCAATACCATGTTTGATAATCTAATCAATAAATGTTCATAAAAAAAACGTCTTCAGGCCCAAAGTCGTAGATACGAGGTATTTACAAAATATTATTATTTTAATTTGTGTCTTTTATTCAGTATAATATCATAATAATATAATACTAATTTACGGACACATTGTGTTATGTAATGAACAAAATAACACTAATTGGAGAGATTTTTAATGTATTGGAAGTTTTAATTTCAAGTTTTCGTTGTTATCAAAATATATAATATAATAATATTAATATAATATAGGTAATCAATAAAACATACCTAAATGGCTAAATGCAATATTTTTTATTTCTATTATCATAATATTTAACAAAATTAAAGTACTCAATCCCTGAGGTTTTAATATTATTAAAAACATAATACATAATAAGATTTGAGCATAAAATAATAATAACAATTCATAATAATGTAGGTAATATTTAAAAACATTGTAATATCTAGACTTTAAGAAATCAGTCTTAGAAAAAATAATAATAAAGACTGTTCTTCATAATATTAACAATTAATAAATCAATAAAGTACTCAATCCCTGAGGTTTTAATATTATTAAAAACATAATATTATCGTCGTTGCCAAAACAATACCACGTATCTCCAAAAAAATCAAAAATGAGTTATACACATCAAATTTTTCAGAAAAAAAAAACTCATGTTTTAGTGTAAATATCACGTATAATACACAAAATCCAAAGAGAATATAAACGTTGAAGCATTATCACGTATATCCATTATCAATATTACTGTCAAAATATATCGTATCTCCACGATAGGTTATCATTTTATACAACAACTGTTACTACAGTAGGTACTATTTTATAATTTATAATAATGATTAATAATTATTTGTACGTTCAACGTTATTTAATAAATCATTTCTTATAACTTTAAACTCAATAATATGAACGAATTCGAAATTGATACACTGTTAAAAGAATTTGATGAAGTCGTTGATGATGGTAAATTATTTAAATTTTTTGAATAGTCACATTATAATAATTATAAATAAATATTTTAAGTGATAATAATTTTACTTTTTTGACATTAGAATTCAACATATCAGACCATACAGATCAGGGCAATACAAAAGATGATTTACAGATTTGTAATGATATTGTTCTTGATGTACAGGAAAATAAAAAAAGGTCACCTAAAACCTGGAAAAAAAATTTAAATAAAATATTACGTATGGAAGGTAAGCCTTATTTAGGTTATAGGAGAACTAATGAAAAGAAAATCTATCATGATGTTGATAGAGCAGCTAAACAAATGGGTCCTACATGTAATAGCAAGATTTGTGAAAAGTCTTCCAAACGAATGTGTAATACATTTTCTGAAAATGATAGACTTGATATATTTACATATTTTACAGTATTTACATATTTTTGGACAAATTTAAATTGGAATGAGAAACAAATGTATGTATCTTTTTTGGTGAAAAAAGTCCCTGTAGAACGTAGGAAGAGTGATGCTTCATCATCTCGAAGACATTATACATACCATTATTATTTAAAACTTCATGGTGAACTTGTTAGTGTATGTAAAAAGATGTTTTTGAATACTCTAAGTGTGGGCGAATGTCAAATACAAGGTTGGTTTATAGATAAAGGTGAAGAAAAAACTGCATCTAGTCAAAACTCAATTCCACGCAAAACAAAAACAAACAACAAAATGTTTGTTAGTACTTTTCTAGAATCATTGGGAAAAATGGAGTCTCACTATTGTAGAAAATCTACTTCAAAATTATATCTTGAACCTCTAGTACAATCTCACTTACAACTCTATAATATCTACACAGAAAAATGTAAGGAAGAGGGAAAAACATTAGTATCAAGAACTAATTTCATGAACATTTTTAATGAGAAAAACCTGAAAAATGTTCACCCAAAGGACCAGTGTGACTTATGTTGTGGCCATAAAACTGGAAACATAAATGATGAAGAATGGCATAAACACATTGAAAATAAAAATCGAAGCAGAGAAGAGAAACACATTGATAAAGAGAAGGGACTTTCAGATGAAATTTTTGTTTTTACCATGGATTTACAGGCCTTTAAAATATGCCCCTCATTGAAAGCTAGTGCATTATATTCAGGGCCGGATTTAGGAATGTGGGGGCCCTGGGCCCACCTTTAGAAGTAGATATTTTTTTCGATTAAGTACATTATATATTTAATAACCAGAATTTTGGTTATGAAAAAACAATGATTTGTTGTGATGAAATAATAAAGATAGTAAATAAGTAAATACATTTATTAGATTATAATAGGTATGCACTGTCAATTGTCATAATATTATATATAGAACTTAAATAATAATGGTTATCATAATATATTTATATGATAACTTTGCGAGATTTCGTCGCCGCAAATTTTTCAACAACTTGTGAAAAATTCAATGATCGTAGTAAGTCGTTTATACCGTTTAAGGAGGCTGCAGTCGATCGTGTTTTAAGGAAATTAATATAAACAATTATTTGCATATTGCATTGCTCGGCTATGAACATTATTCCGATGCTCGGAATATTGGTACGGTCTACACAATGTATAACAAAAGAAATAAAAAACGCGAAAACTGGTACTATTCAAATTTTAATTTTAGTGGTCAATTATACATACAATCATAAAATTACAACGATATTCAATACGTTTTTAAATAATAAAATAATAATAATTTTTTTTAAGTGAAAAATAGAACACACTCAATCCACTATTGCGATTAATGTACTGGTGAGAACTTGCTGTATATTATAGTTCATGACATTATTGATTAATAGATATTAATTATGGTTTCTTATGGTATCTTATCTTATTCCGCGTTTAAAAAGACCATACCAGTTTTCCGTTAACCCATTATTCCAATCATTATAATTTATAAATATTAGTTATAATCACATATGCACATATCATAAAATATCAATTTTATATTTTGTGGAATTGTATCCGTAGGCCCGCATAATATAATATCGCCCGGTCGGACAGTCAGTTATATTGGACGGACACTTAATTTTTTTACAAATTTTTCAAACACAAATAAAATTTGAAAACAAATTTAAAAAATATATTCCAACAGTTATTAGATAAACTTCTCGTGTTTAATTTGGTATAAAAACTATGTTTCTACGACTTACGAGGCCTGAGTACTATTGGAACTACGAAAACATGTTTTTACGATCTATTTTTTTCTACCTACAGTGACGGCTCTTAACTACTATCATACGTGCAGGAACAAGTTGTTATTAAACTATTATATTATAGATTATTAAATTATAACTAGGTTTTTATCGAGATGATTTTGAAAATATATTTTTCCAGCTGTGCTATCAATAAATATAAAAAACGATATTTTTTATTTATATTTTTAATCGTGACACTAACAATTTTCGGAATATTAAAAATCACCACGATAAAAACCTAGTAGGTTATCTCGTTAATCAATCTTAATCCGTTTTCAAAATTGAAATCTGTCAAACCAAATTACTACAGTTTTGTCTAGATTTTTGGTCTAAATGCCACTTTTTTACACAGACAGCAGCCCCCTTGATTGAAAATCGTCGAATTACTAAATTTAATTTAATAAAAAATACATTGTACTAACCTGGATAAATATCACCATCAAAATATACATATACTTTATGGACTATGGTTGAAGCGTGAAAACTGAGTTTACCATCTATTTTTCCTATCGTCTACGGTCTACCGCATCAATATCATAAATAATTACATCTTTACATCTCACATGTTTTTATTTAGAACTTATTCAGCACGCATTTATTTATAACAGTCCACAACGGACGGCTTGCTATACAAGTTATAATATGTGTTTATTTATAACTGTTTTTAATTAAAATATCTACAAGTCTACAAGATAATAATAACATAATAACATAATAATCGATTTTAAATTCACATTTGTAAGCTAGCTACTCACTTCTATAAATTCATTAGTTATTAAATATTAATAATAACATTTATTTATAAATTTATGACAATATCAACGATTGAATATTTTTATTCATGTTGTGATTTAAATCCGTTTTGAAAATGTTATATTGTGTTTTATACTTGGATGTAAAAAAAAACATTTAGTGGGGGCCCCCTGGGCCCCCCTAAATCCGGCCCTGATTATATTACAAATGTAAGTTATGTGTTCATAATTTCACAATGTACAATCTTTCTCCCCATGAATGTTTGTGCTACTGGTGGGGCGAGACTCAGTCCGATCTTTCAGCGTCTTCATTTACAAGTTGTATAATTGACCAGCTAACAAAGTGTAATAATAAAAGTCCAAGTAAAAATTTTATGTTGTGGAGTGATGGGTGCTGCTATCAAAATAAAAATACCGTTTTGGCCAATTCATTGTTAGAGTTTGCAGTCAGTAATAAAAAGTAGTCATTGAGAAAAAAGTATTTAACCAAGGGCCACACTCAAATGGAGTGTGACTCAGTGCACTCTGCCATAGAGAGGAAACTAAAAAATATAGATATCTACTTGCCTTCTGATTACTTAAAAGTTACAAAAAATGCAAGATCAAAACCATTTTCTTATGAAATCAAATCATGTGATATTTCTTTTTTTAGACAATACCAGACTAACTTTTTTAGGTATAGTTCTATAAGACCCGGGAAGGTAGCTGGAGACCCTACTGTAACTGATATTAAAGCTATCCGATATAATTGTAATGGTACTATTGATTACAAACTAGACTGTTGAATATTCTGATCTAGATTTTGTACAGAAAAAAAGAAATAAGGATAAACAACCTGATCACCTATAGTGTATGACCAGTATGTGTATATTATACATAATAATATTTTGAGCATAAAATTAAAAATAACAATTCATAATAATGTAGGCAATATTTAAAAACCTTGTAATGTTTTTTATAAATTAATTATACTTTACCAGTTCTAGCTTTAAATGTTGTGGTATGTGTCAAAGTATCATAGAAAGAATGTATGTCTATGGGTAAAAACTTTTTAAGGTTTTGTAGGTCATTCCATTTTGATAGACTGATAGACAATGGTTTACCGTAGAGTTTCTTGTAATTAATTGCTGTCAGGTCAATTCTCGGATTTCTTCGGGTCGTCAAATACTAACTTATATAATATACGTTTATGTATGGGGTTATACTGTAGAGATCTCAAGTCTTTGACTTCTGGGTCTCCTTTTCCTTTTCCAGGTCTGATGGTATTATATACAATATGAGTTATAAAGTCCAAGAAAAAATCGTGACTCAAAAGAGTTGCTCCAAGAGCTGTTGGATTTTTTCTGGCATCTTTAGTTATTTTTATAAAATCTGAAGGAAGGTATCTTGACCCTTTAACTTTCTTTCTATAAGACAATGAGCACTATTACAAGGCATTTGGGTGTGACCTTTTAGAAGATATTTTTGTTCAATAATAACTCCATATTTCATTGAGAAATGAAGAAGTGCGTTGGCTATTATTATGTTCCTGTTTTGATAGCCACAACCATCCGAGTATAATATAATTGGTCTTTTATCATTCATGCAAAATTTTTCCAAATGTTTAATAATTATTGTTGTAAATATTGATGCTTCCAGTTCACCCTCACCCTCATGCCACCAATAGTTTTCACAGTGGCCTGTACTGTTGTTATACAATGTCATATTATGAACCTTCAGCTTCATTGAATAATATAGGGCACTGTTTTGTAAATATGGACATAATTTAACAGCCTGGCAATCCATTGTATATAAGTAGCATTATTTTCTTTGGCTAATAGAGTGTCTTTTTCCAATTCTTCCTCTATTTGTATGTGCAATGTGCTCAGCAAAGTCATCTTCCTCAACTTGTCCCATTTCATAAGATGAACAAAAATCGCATTTATCTTTTCTTAGCATATAAATAGAACTTTTTTTGTTTCATAAAGCTGTAAAAATAACAAATACTTGATGGAATAATACTGTCTTCAGTGCATTTGGATTTGTAAAGTTCAAAAACTTCTGATTTATGCATAAATGGACCTTCTAAGTAAAGCCTATTGGTTTTTTTCCGACAATAATATGAAGGCATTTTTGCTAGACCGGAAAACCAATTTTCTAAGTGATCAATTCTTTTTTTCTGTGCATCCCTTTTAGGTGTAATAATAATATTATCATTACTAACGTCGTTGACTTTTGTTTTTTTCCCAGCTAGTCCATGAGTTGATTCCTTTAACCAATTGTGCAACATCCATTCATTCATATCAAGTTTATTTAAAAACATTTTCTTACAAACTTCCATAGGCTCTTCATAATCTTGATGTTTAAAATAGTACTTAATAGTATTTAATCTTCTGCTTGAATCACCTAATCCAGTAGTGTCTCTTTGTGTTTGGTATATAAAATAAACCAATTATTTGTTTCTGAAGAACAAAATCTTTTTAATTTTAAATCAATAAAAATTGGTACTGTCGACTACAGGAAATTGAATATTCCTGAAAGAAATATATACACATATGTAAGTGGATATCTAATGAAGAAATGTTTGGAGAACATGTATGCCAGGTTTGTATAGAGTATGCAAATCATCAAGAAACATTAGATCAGTCTTTCCTTTTAACTTTCTTCAAATCTTACTCTGCAAATGACACTTCCAATTTTGGTAAGCTATTAATGCCTCATGATGAGTTTTATAATTATGTAATTGAATTAGAAGATATTATTGTTGAGAACTTTCCTTCTATTGAACTAATGATAACATCGGGTCCACAATGAAAGATTTACTTTGTAATGTACGTTTTAGTCATCCTTGTATATTATTTGACAAACAATTTTTAGTACATTTATTTATACGTTTCAGAATTTTTACTGCAATTAAATTTTTAAAAAGGACTAAGTTGTCTGAAACAAAACGAAAAAATAGAAAACTATCAATTTTAAAACATTTGAAAATAATTTTCTTTAAGATATAGGTATATTTATAAATGCCAGATAAGTCGATCAGAAAGGGTAGTACATAGAATGTATTGATTTTACAATGATTTGTGTTTTTTTTTAAATTTAAAATTATTTATTTTTGTGTCTACCATCATCTATTAGTACAGTAAAAATGCTAATACAAGATTCCTCATAAGCTTGTTTACCTTTATAAAAAAAAAAAAAAAAAAATGTCCACAAGAAACTCAAATTAAATTTTTATGGCGTTTGAAATTCATATTTTTTTTACTATATTAATTGATATTCACTCGATTCCTCATGTAACGATTTTCTTATTTTATTGTAATTAATAAACAAATGACTGTAGATACTTGAAAATTTCACTGAATGTTTATATTAGCATTTTCTATATACCATACGATTTTACTATTTTTGAGCTGTTTACGGACATCGTCAGTTTTCAATATTTTTAGTTTTTTTTTCTATAAATATCAATAAAATGTTATTTGTTGGGTAAAAAAGAGTGAAAATATAATGCAGGGCTCTTGATATATTGTCACAATATATCATTTCAATATATATTGAAAAGTTGTATTAAAAATTAAAATTGTACCTATATTATTTTAGTTGAGAAATGACATTAAGGATTTATTAATTAATAAATATTACCTAATTAGTAATTACTAATAAATTACATTATTTATAATATAATTTAAAAACTAATTATCTATTTTTTTATCTAGATAAATGTATGTGTATATTTATCTTTATCTAGATAAAAAAAATGATATAAAGATGATTTTTTGGTTATATTTTCCTATCACTGGTTACTGTGTTTGAAAATTTCATGAAATTTAAAAAAAATGAAATATCTTATGAAATATTTCAGTATTTTAATAAATTTTGTTTTATTTTTAAATAAGTCTTATATTTACATATAATTGTCATAAATTACCTTCATAACTGTATGGTACCTGTATGTATACTTAACCTTTGGTATTATACATTTAAAATGGTATTCAAAATTTTTAAATATTTTAATGTTTAAATGATAAAAGTAGATATACAATATTATACATGTATTTTGTATACCTACTCATTTCTGACATTAGAATTTAGAACACTGGACATTGTGTTAAAAAAAATTTCAATGTTTCACGTTTGTGTGAAATATTTCATACTTCAATCACTACCCGTGTGTCCCCCCCCCACCTATAACTTCTAAAATGATAAAACTAAAAAAAATATATGATGTACATTACCATGCAAACTTCCACCGAAGATTGGTTTGAACGAGATCTAGTAAGTAGTTTTTTTTTTTTAATAGGTAAATAAGTAAACAATAATTATAATTCACGCTGTTAGTGGCTTGATCGGTAACGGGTGCGGAGTGCGCGGGGGGCAGGTTCCCGTTTGTGCTGCTTACCCGAGCGGGTAATATTATTATAATATTAGATAATTCATAGACAAATATAACCATTATATTTTTTAATATGCAATAACATTTTTCAAATAATATATGTTTCCAAATTTAAAGGCACATCACTAAATATTATTAAATTGCTTATATTTAAAAACAAATAATATATAATTACATATAATTAGCAAATTAATAATAACGATAAATAATTACAATATATTTTCTTTCGTTCAGCACACTGCACTACTCGTTTTCTTTTAGCGGACAATTGTTTTGTAACGCGTAATTTAAACAGTCAAGGTGTCCATTTTTTTCGGCGTTCGTTGTCGTTAGATCTTCATATGGGCATCCATTGGTATGCAAATATATGAGACAGTCCAGATTACCTTTTTCCGCTGCATAATTGCACGTGAAGACGGACCACTGAGCCCCGTGCTGGTGTGCGTAAACCAGACAATCAAGGTCTCCCGATTTTGCAGCCCGATCACACGCCGTTTTCTGAGCAAACGTCGGAGAATACCACGGGACGCCCATCGTACGAGCGAGCTTCATACAGTCCAGATGTCCGTGGAAAGCGGCCATCTCACATATGTTTTTGATTATATAGTCATCGCTGAACTGTGATTGGACCAGGGGCTTCACTTTGGGGAACATGGATAGCCGATCGCCATGTGAGTTAAAACACTTGACGCAATGGTTGAGGCGAATAATCTTAAGGATTGAATGGCAGCATATTTGTAAGTCAGAGGGCTGGACTGGCATATTGTCGTACCATGTCTGCTGTTCAACGTTACATGCTTGGTAAGCAAACTTTAATAAACTGGGTACGACATACGTTATCTCGTCGTTGGCAGCCATCGTGATTGTATATCAATAATAAATAGATGACCAGTCGAGGGTATAGCTCACGACCACTGTAAACATAAAACCAAAATATTAAATAATAATCTATCCATATTGACGGGATAAATGCCAGATAAGTCGATCAGAAAGGGTAGTACATAGAATGTATTGATTTTACAATGATTTGTGTTTTTTTTTTAAATTTAAAATTATTTATTTTTGTGTCTACCATCATCTATTAGTACAGTAAAAATGCTAATACAAGATTCCTCATAAGTTTGTCTACCTTTATCAAAAAAAAAAAAAAAATGTCCACAAGAAACTCAAATTAAATTTTTATGGCATTTGAAATTCATATTTTTTTTTACTATATTTGATATTCACTCGATTCCTCATGTAACGATTTTCTTATTTTATTGTAATTAAAAAACAAATGACTGTAGATACTTGAAAATTTCACTGAATGTTTATATTAGCATTTTCTATATACCATACGATTTTACTATTTTTGAGCTGTTTACGGACATCGTCAGTTTTCAATATTTTTAGTTTTTTTTTCTATAAATATCAATAAAATGTTATTTGTTGGGTAAAAATGAGTGAAAATATAATGCAGGGCTCTTGATATATTATCACAATATATCATTTCAATATATATTGAAAAGCAAAATTACGGGTTATTGTAAAACCACAAATAAATAATGGCGGGATTCAAGGCGAGATTTGTCCAAATTTTTAAAAAATAATAATAACTGTTAAATAACAATTAGAATTTAACGTTCCTCATATTATGACCCATGATATAATAAACTAGGTATGATGCACATTTTATGATACGCATACTCCCCTCTTCCGCCGACCGATTGCTAAATGAAACATAACGCTGGACTTTCGCCATTTCTCATTGGTTGTCTATGTTATTGTGATAAGTGATAACTGTTGTATTCAATTTCGAATTATCAAAATAGTTTATTAGTTTATACTTTACCTCTTTAATTTTTTTTCTAATTTCTAATATTAAAATTCATTGTGGAACTATAGCTTAATAATATAAATTATAAATGAGTACTAATTGAGTAGATCAATACCATTATTCATCTATCAATGGTTTAAGCACTAATACTTACGAACAATATTACTTACCTATGTAGTTATGTACCTATATTTAATAATCGAACAATATTTAATTTTATTAGAAAAGACAACAAGGAAATAAGTAAGTATTTTACATTATAGGTATTTTAAAAATTTTATTTTATTGAAAATTTTTACTTTTCTAGAATTTTCGTTGTTTTGAGTTGCAGTTGCTGAAAGAATAATTTTATTTAAATAATTCAATCTAATGAAAGTACGTGTTCTCACTAAACATTCTACTACTTTTACTGGTAGATTCAAATTTTCTTTTTGTAGTTCATTCATCAATAAATTGTTGACCTTTGTCATAACTTTTGGCTCTTTATTTATGCAATCTTTGCCATGAAAATTATTGAAGAGATGTTCTAAGATCATTGAACATTTTAACAAGATTGGCGATGGAGTTGTTAAATTTCCTCTTGAAATATGTTGTATCCATGAAGAGCCAAAAACTTCTTTATTGCATAGCCATGGATATTCGGTAGCATAACGACTTGCAACATACCCTGTTACATATTCAATGCAGTCTTTTTCTAATTCAGTTAACTCATCAACTGGATTCACCTAAAACAATTAAGTTTAACATTACTGGTTGTTTGGTCAATTGTACATTTGGACACATAGGTAAGTGTTATAAACTATATTAACTAAATTTATTTACATATGATTCAAACTGATGTAGTAAATTTATATTTTCCTCAGGTATATCAAAAGTTTCAGTTGATCCAAAATGTGACTCTATTGTAGCAATTTCTTCATTGAAATACATTTGTCTGCATTCATCCATGTTATTATTACTATTAATTTCAGCCTCATTAATAGTAACTGCTGACAAACAATCAACTAAACATTCCTCATCAGAGCATTCGGTATTTCGATTTTCTGTGATTATGGTGTCAGAATATTTTCCCAAGATACATACCATCGTAAACTAATACATTTTTTTATTTTTAGGTTTTATAGTCGACTACTCAATGATAATTAAAATCATACTAACCAATACTTGAACTCTAAAGGGGTTATGCGATATGCTGATGCCATCATACTTTTTAAAGCACTAAATAAATTTTCAAGAAGATCCTGATTTACTCTTCTTGTAAGTATATATTTAATTTCAGGATACCTTTCTTTCAAATCTTCAAACATACGTTTTAACGATGTGTTTGTTATTAATATCCCTATATATTTTTAAAAATTTTCTATTTTACTGATCTTTTTTATATTGTATTTAATTGATCTTTGTATATATGGAGAAATGTATTTAGTAATTACCTTTTTGAAATGGCTTTAAACTTGTGGTTGGTTTACCTTTTAAATAAACTCTCAAACTTTCTATAAATGTATTCATTTCAGATAATATTTTATTTTGATTATCGATGTCAAGTCCATAAGATAATGTAAATTTATCTTTTGGTAGTTGTGTGTTTAACAAATCAAACCAATCGTTAAACAGTTTAATTACTATTGATGCCTATGTATTAATTAGATATATGTTATTAATTATTACTTATAGTAACAGTATAATTATTATTTTAAATAAATATTTCTAAAAAGATAGAAAGAATATTTGTCATATTATATTCTTTTTTTATTTAAAAATTGTCTATTTTAAATGTCTACAAAATATTAGAAATGTGGAATAATATAAGTAATATTAGTAGTTAATTAGTATATATTTACTTCTTTCCAATTAGTGAACTGCAATACATTTTTTTGCCCTAAATAGGATATTGCTTTGGCCATTGAATTTGACAAGACTTGTGTTGCCAGTTTTACATTTTGTCGCTGTGATCCAATTGCATTTAGATGTCGATCAGTGACTTTGTGTACACAACTTAAATCCCCTTTGTTCAAACTAACTACCTCTTGTATTACTTGTTTCCCAATGTACTTATTATTTGGCAAAACAAATCCACTATCAATGAAATGATTTCTCACTAATTTCATTAAGTGTGGTACATCAGCAAACATATAAATTGGTTTTCCAGATATAGGATGACTAAATGATGTCTTTGTTGGTGTTATTCCGAGACTTTTCCAAAGCCTAATATTTGTAGGCCCCATATCACTAACAACAGCTGCTACCTCAAAACCACAGGCATGAAGCTGACTTATAACGTCGAACAATAATAATTGAGTCATGGGTGAATCATAGTCATAGTATAATGGTTCCTTCCATTTGGAAAATAGTCCTAGAAAGTAACAAATAACTATTATACAGTCATAATTGATATGTTAATACTCAAATTTCAAACCACACACCTCTGGCAATCATTACTTGTACACACTTAAATGAACCCAAAACTTGTTCCGTTTTTTTATCGTAGCACAATTTTTGTGAAACATAAGTCTCATCAAATGATATTACTGTCACTTTGTCCATTCTGATAAAGATTTTCCTATATTTTTCAAAAGCATAAGAACATCTTTCAAAATACCTTTGTCCATATTAAATTTCCCTGCCCACTGTCTCAATGTTGATAAACCTAAAATTATAATTATTTGCACAGATTGGTTTAAAAAATTGTATTTTATAAATTCTAAGGAAAGTTATTTTACACAAATCTTTTATGATTTAAAAAATAAATTGGTATACTAAATAACAAATTTGTATTTATCTATATATCACTAACATCGAACACAATTATTTAAACAAGAAACTCCTACAATACCTGGTAACGGAAACTCCAATTTATCTCTTAGATATCTATAGCACTTAGGTGATATACTTCGCAAAGTCATAGCCGATGCAATGTCTTCTGGTTCCCATTTGGCCACTTTTTTTTTTTTTATTTAGGATCATTTCTGCTTGCTGTGGTGAAAACATGTTTGATAAATGGTTTTTAAACTTATTTTCAAACCTGCATGCCTCCAAAGTGATCCATTTATTTTGTTCAATAACTAATTTTTTCAAATCGCCATTTGTTTTGACAAATTCCTCATTTTTTTTTTTTAATTATCTCTAATTCTGATGAACTGAACGAGTCGAATCAGTGTTTCAAGATTTGGCGACTCAGTAACACAGTTTTACCAACCAAAGTTCGACAATTCAAAATCGAGTCGGAGTTGACAATTCGATATGAATTTATTTGTGAACTCTGAATTGTTCCGCGAGTTGAGTTTATAATCACTATTCTGCGAACGATACTACTAATCACGATTTAAGATAGTAAAGATAATTTTATTATATCTATATATTTGAAGTTTGAATACGTGCTAGGTATTACCAGTTACCACCGGTTTAAGATGTATACTAGTGACAGTTTTATTGATGCTACACCAAACTTATTACTTAAAACTACGTGTACCTATTGGATATTATTGTAGGTACTTAGTGAATATAGTGATTTAGTTATATAAAATATAATAATTATTAATAAGATTCAACGTCTTAAGACTTAATATCTAAACTAGTCTCGAGTAGTCTCGAGTCTCGACTAGTCGACTGTTGTGAAATTCAACTATTCAACATTTCAACTCTTAAAATTCTTAATACTAAACTTGCATTTCACACATTACACAAGCAGACACCATACGTCTTCAGAAGTTCAGAATGATATTAAGTATATATACTATTGAGTGCAACATTTTAATTCACATACATATATATAAATCTGAAATAAAAAATTATTAGTAAAACAGAAATATTGAAAACAATTTCATTGGATTTTACTTCACCACAATGTAGGTGTGCACAGTTTTTGTGTTTTGTATATATTGACTTGACTTATGTGATTAAAAAAATGAATTACATTGTAAATTGGATGTTTGAAAGAAATTGGTACCTAGAAAAAAATTGTATTACTAGCATCAAACTCATTTGTCAAAACTCAGAATTAAGTAGTAGTGGTGTATGAACATGACAAATAATTGTTGAAAATAGTTAACATGAACATGCTAATTGAATGAAGGTGTGTTATGGTTTTATTTATTTTGTAAACAAGAATGTAAATTACAAATGTAAATTTTACAAAATAATTTTAAATTAATAAAATGTATAATAAATTTAAATTCATAGTTTAAAATAATATACTAAATCTTAAATAAAAATATCCTATAGTAAATAATATGTCTGCTTACTTAAAACATAACAATAAAACCTTTTTATTGTAAATTTTACAAAATAATTTTAAATTAATAATATGTCTGCTTACTTAAAACATAACAATAAAACCTTTTTATTGTAATGAATTACAAAAAAAAACTTTAATTAATAAAATATTACTTGTACACCACTGTACTTACATATTATACCTCATGTGACATTAAAATAAAATATTAGTATATATTACATAATATGGTGTACAGTGTTAAAATCTATAAATTAAAATTTAAAAATATCATTTTTTCAAAATTTTTACTATGCAGTCTACTTCTTTTTTCAGTAATTGTCTGACCAGCTTTTGAAAATATTCGCTCACATGGAACAGATGTAACCAAAATACAAAAACGTTTTTTCATTATTTGAAAGAGCCTTGGATAAACACTTTTATTTTCTTTCCACCAAAGCAAAGGATCAGCTGCTCTTGGAATTAAAGGTTCTAAAAGATATTTATCAATTTCTACAATAAATGCGGATGTTGGATTTCGACTTTGGACTAAACTCTGAACTTCAGTGTCGAAATCGTTCCAGATTGAGTCATTACTTGTTGATGGCATAGTAGCAACACTTGTATGGTTCTCCGATTCCAATTGAATATCCCTAGCTTTATTGACCAATGACTTTTTTCCCATGATTTTTAAATTATTAATGATTTTTAAATTATTAATGATTTTTAAATCCATGATTTTTAAACCTAGGATCCAAAATTACAGCTTCTGCGTAGAGAATATTCCTTTCATGTGGACCAAATCTACTTACCACTTGACTTGTCAATACATCAATAAATTTAGTCGTCAAAGATGATATTTATTAGGGATATAAGGGATATTTATTTTTCAACTGACCACAATAATTAATTAGTGCTTTACTCAGAACAACAACTTTAGATATTGAAACTGATTTTTCGCTACTAATTTCAATAGTAATTTCCTTAAACCTCTTAAGAATATCACATGTATTTGAAATTATTTGCCAAACGGATGAATTTAAATACACGTCATAGTTAGTCTCGGCTAAAGCAGATAATAAAGGAGTTTTTAAATAAAATACGTTCAAACATCTCATAAGTAGAATTCCACCTAGTTACCACATCTTGTATCACACTCAGAGTAGGTGAATATTCCAGTTGTTCTGGCCTGAATTTTAATTTGGCCGCTGCTTGAGAGCTTCTTTTAAAATGGCCAACAATGCCCTTAACCTTGTCCCTGATCTCTTGCACTTCTTTGAGAGCATGTTGGACGGCTAAATTCAAAGAATGTACAAAACAGAATTATCTAATCCAGAATCTCGTTCGTCCTGGCGACTCCGACGACCGCGAGATCGTCGGCGAAGCCAACCATCTGGACGCCCGGAGGAACTTCCATTTCCAGTAGATAATCGTATGCAACATCCCCACAGGGTCGGTCCAAGAAGTGAGCCCTGGGGAACCTCACACGTGACAGTCTTCAATGTCCTTTCCTCTATAACGAGCAACTCCCTGTCTGACCCTCATGATCGAATCATGAGCATTATCTGCAGTATGTGCTTCATCTGTCACAGGCCACCTCAACTTAACCGGAGTGTCTACTAGGCAAATGGGTCAGAAGCTAGAGGGTTTGGTAGGTACTTGGTCATGTATGTGCAACCATATGGGATATTGTAACCCATATACATATATTGTTTCTTTTTTTAAAACATACCTTTTGTTCCTTGCTCCATGAAATCATATTGTTTAAAAAAGTTTAAATTAAACACGAAATAAGCATATAATTAGACTTGTTTTTGTTTTCTCTTCTATTCTATTAAAGTATAACAAAAAAAAAAAAAATGATCTGTGCAATATATTTTATATAATCATCTTGTATTTCTCGTCAAAATTAAGTTATTCGCTTTTCACGATGTTAAACTTCTCTTTTGTTTTAAGGGGAAACCAAGAAAAATTCCTTTTTCTCCTTGAAGGGAAGTCCAAATATGGTGCAATGGGTTCCATTATTTATATCTCAGTATTCAGAAATAAATATTGTATTTCTTGCTGTGAAAAGCATGTTAATTCACAGAAATCCATAATTTAATTGAACATGTCAAATCATTGTGCCTGTAGAAATATTTTTTTAATTTCAAAAAGAGCATTCTACCTAGCTTTGTTTTGAACTTTTAAGTAAAATCTAATTTGCTCTTATATCTGTTCGGCAACAATGGCGTACACGTTGAGGCTGCGATCTCGAATTTAATGAAATGAGTAAACAATAAAAAAATATACATTTTGGATGTCTCTGCGGGCAGTGGAGATACTCCTTTCTTTTGTGATGTTTCCTAAATTAATTTTGTATGTTTTTTATTTTCTCTTCGTTCTTTGGACTGTGAGATATATTGGGGTTTTGTCGACATATTCATTGTTAGCATTTGCCTTGTTCACGCATACCCACCACAAAACGGACAACGCAGCGAGCGTTGGTATCGGCCGTCACGAAACTCTATACTATAGTGAACAGTTTAACTCACTGTCGCTATGTTGGTTCCACTCTTGCGTGCGTACACGTTGAGGCCGCGATCGTCTTGTAATCGTTCAGAATGTCAGGACAGTTTATCAAATTCTCTTCGGGTTCCCATGTGTTCTCATCGTTGTTAGACTTTTTCCATTTAACATATTAATACTTAATTTTATTGTCTATTGTTGCTCTAACACGGATAACCACACTAGTATGTCCTCAACTTCAAACTTGGTTCTGTGCATATGCAGTCATATATAAAATATATACCTTGTCTGCAGTGCTAAGTTGTCTGTTTGTTGGTATTGTCCATCACAAAATGCAGACAGGTGTACGTCATAATTAAACATAAATAAGGTATTAACCTAACCTAATAATAAAAGCATGCATGCATGGAGTGTACGATATTTCGTACAAGTTGAGATTATACCAGTGTATTTAGGCATTTAGCGATGTCTTCTAGCACACACTAGGTACTTATACTCACTATACGAAAATGACGTGGAGGTGATGCACAGATGGCGTAAAAACTTAAAACCACTCCACACAGAATGTCTTATAGGTATTCCAGTCACACTTGCTGACACGCAGAAGTTTTGAACGGACTATGGTTCCAAATTCCAGTACTCCAGTCCGCTATAAAGTATTAAAGTCCAGTGAAGTGAACAAGCAATGAAACAGATAATTGTAAGATTATAAATTACACATTGGAAATTTTGAAATACATTATATATTGCGTATCATGTGTGGCCTAATACCCGGCTAATAAATGTTATTACGTCATATATCACGAAACAGGTAGATACAATTTTAATAATTACTAAACACCTGTTTTTTCTTGTTATAATATATCTTATCCCTATTTTTGGTATAGTATTAACTTTGATGTGGTAGTGACGGTGGCATTTGGTTAGTCTCCCTGACTGCGCCCGTGGGTTCCCGATCTTGTTTGAATGTTACAGGCCACCACGCACGGCACAACTGGTTCATTGTGTGATGTATCGGAGGATGTTGTTTGGTCTAACGTTTTATATAAATACTAGCTGCCCGTGTGCCTCGATTCCGGGCGTTGTGGAAGCCGCCTCCGGCGCCTTCGAGGTGGTCGAGTGAAAATCGTATCACGGTAAATTCGCAAAAGAAATTAAACCGTACCGAAAACTGTGACTGAGTGTCTAGCGGTCTCTCCTCGTCTGGTGTAATACCGTGCCCCGCTGTATGCCCGGTTCTGTTTTGTTGACTGTATAAGAAATTAGGAATTGCGAATAATTGTAATCGAATGTCTAGCTATCAATCATCGCTGTATGCAAATCTATGAGTTATAGGGCATCTGTGTATGGCGGATTGGATACATGTCCCGTCGCATGCCCTGTTCTTTTGTGCGTGCAAAAAGGATAAATGCATAACAAAACGGTAATTGTGTGTCTAGCTTTCAGTCCTCAACCGGTACAAATTTGTGCGTTTACTGGGTATACCTCCTAATGTCGATAGTCTGATATTGTATTATTGTAGGAGAAAATGTTAAAGCCGAATGTCAATTGAATAAAAAGTTTAAGTAGTCGATTTAAAGGCAACCATACTTCCCATGTAGGTATATAGGTGTCTGGTTGCGAACGACCTGTGCATACCAAATTAAATTAAAACGTTCCATAAAGCTAATTAAATGCTCTAAATAACTTATATAGACACCTGTAGGTGTGGCGTACCTATCATAACATTATTACTATTCATAAGTACTTATTAAGTACAGTTAAATGAATATATGTGTAGCCTATAAAACATCAGTTAAATGTATCATGTTGTATATATGTGTGTTGTGCACATGCTTATAGTTTTTGGTTTTTAAAAGTGGTTTTAATACTATCAATCACAATATTTTACAATTTTAGGTTTAATATAAGTCAGTAGTAATGTATAATAATAATAAAAATAATAAATATGAACATGGATTATTTGTTTATTAGTTATATATTTTACATTACAAATAATATATAATCAATTAGGTACTACTAATCAGTATTTGTATAATATTTTTACAATGAAAATTATTTGCGGAGGCTAAATATCTAATCATACCTCATAAAGTGTATTACATGCGAAAGACATTGCTAAGCAATACAAATTCAAACATACAATATAGTGTAGTTTAATGATGTTTAAAAAAATTAAATTGATTCTTGCGTCGACTGCAATAAGTAGAAATCAAACATTATTATACATACAACAAAATTGAAAATCTATTACAAACCTATTGGTCATAGTAGAATAGATATATGCTTTTGAAATTATAATAATTTGTGTGTGTAACTTACTATTAATCAATTTAAACGTGTATATACATATATATACAGGGTGTAACAGATAGAACTGACTTTTGGAATAACTTTTGTTCTGATCATTATTTTTAATTTTTTTTTTTATATTTAATTTATAGCCACTTGCTCTACACGTGTAAGAGGAAAAAAATTATTTTTATTTTTTTATACTAAAAATAAAAAATTTTAAATTTGACTTAAATTTTTCTGAATAAATTCAAAATAGCAAACTTGTGAATCTGATTTTAAGAACGATTTGCATGGTAAAAACATTTATCTAAGTCTAGTAGTTTATTTTTTAGAATTTTTTTAAATATCAATATTTTTTTGATAAAATAAATTTGGAACGCAATAGCTTTTTTAAAAATATTATTTTTGGAAATTTTATAACATGGGTATATTCTTAAAACTATTTACTAATCATATAATTTCAATAATTTTTGTCATACATTTAAGTAGCATCATTTTTTTTTTTTTTTTGGTCAGTTCTTTCTGTTACACACGGTATATATATATATACATGTGCTACATAAATTACAAATTAACTGGTACTATTGGTTAATGAACGGGGGCGGATTGGGCCACCGGGAATTCGGGAGTTTTCCCGGTGGGCAGCTTTTTCAAATAACTATGTATTCTTAAATTCCTATTAGGTACCCCAGCCCAGTAAATTTGCATTTTTTCCGATTTTTCAAAATAAGATAATACGAATTGGATTGCGGACAGTATGCAATAGTAGGTATATCAGGTAGGCAATCTACCTACGGTGGATTGCTGACACAACGATAAGAGACAGGAAGCCAAAATATAGTATTTCTCGAAAAGCAGTTAAAATCGAAAACAACCCTTGATATGTTATGTAAAACCACATTGGGTGATCTCTAGGTAACGACAAACTTCGGA